AAAAAAAAAAAAAAAAAAAAAAAAAAAAAAAGGAAGAAATTTGCTGATAGGAAATGCACTTTAACTGATATGTGTCTAATTGGATGCATTTTGTAGGTGAACGTCGATTAGTGCAAAATCGAAGAACGGCACATCCTGAATGGGATAAATGTTGGGATACCGGTGTTGTACCGGGTCGAGTATTACAGGTGATACTGATGAACGGTAATGTACCAATTGCGGATGCCACTATGCGTCAACAGGTTACCATTGTTTTATAATATCGCTAATTAATTGTTCAGTTGTGTCTTGGTATTAACATTATGCTAATTATAAATTAGAGCTTATATAAGCCTAACAATTTCTGTTGGCACCGTGAAGCATGGAATAAAACACTCGGATTCTTCGTGTCGTCACTCATATGCAGTCGTTGTTGACGTCTGCTGATAGACCTGCCCCTTCCTCCCTCCAACACCAAAACACTGTTTTATTCGCTGATTACAGTGACATCCGATTATTTCCTGCTTCATTTTCCCATTTCTAGTCTTCTGTATCACCAAAAAAAATTTTTTTTGGCTAATTGTGTAAACTATTGAAAAAATAGCAAAAGAGTTTTTTATTTTGCAAGGAAGAAAGCTTTTTCTGCCGTCATCTGTAGTGTTTTTTTCTTTGCAGAAGAAAACTTGGTTTTTGAAGATTAAACTCGTCAAGAGCATCTGGTTTCTATTAGACTTTTTCAAAACTTTAGTTTTTGATTTTTTCCTTTCCTTATTTTTTTACTTTTTTGCTTTTTTTTGTGTTTTCGAATAATTTTACCACTTTATGCTTTCAAAAAAAAAAAAAAAACTAATGCTTTGGCTAATAAAAACAGGATCAAATTAGTGGTTATACATTGAATGATATTCTCTCTCCTTTGTTTTTATTTTGTTTCAACTAAATAAGAATAAAGGATTTTTTTTTCACTAACTAATAAAAAGGAACCTTTTTCATGTGTGATAAGTTGGTTTTCTAGCGTTTTTTGTGGTTTATAATTTCAGTGACTAAGTCTGGTACCATTCCTCCCAATGTTGCTGTTCTTGGTGCTGTTGCTGCTAATGTTTCTCCTCTTCTTCTTCTGCAATGAATAAATTCTATTCAATTTTTTTTGCCTTAGGATTTTAAAATAAAGAGAAGTTTAGTAATTACTACCCGATTATTGGTTGCTTTTTTTTTTTGGAAAAAAATGATATTTGTATGCAAGAAGTAAATTCCTTGTCTTTAGCATTGATCCGTTATGGTGTGAACCGATACAGCAGCAGTAGTAATAATGTTGCTGTAGATCATGATGACAACAAACGGTAATAATGGGTAGGACAAGGAGGGCTGACGAGGAAATTAAGGGAGGAAGAGGAGAATACTAAAAAATGTTGATGTGTAACTGAGAGATACAATAAGAACTTTCAGGATTTTGCAGGAGATTCTTATGCCTTTGCTCTATGTGACTATTTTTCGTCTGCTGGCTTGCTTTTTTTAGTTTCTTTTTACAGATGGTTATTTCACAAGTGGAACAACCAAATTTGTTTTCTCATAATTTTATTGAGAGGGAAGAGAAAAGGGGAAAAAAAGCAACTAAAGAAGCTGTGAAACTCTGGGAACTAATGGAATGGTTGAGGAAACAACGGGGAAGGAGAGTTGGCTGGGATGATGTAAAAGTTGAAAAGTGGTTTTGCTGTTTTTTTTTTTCGTTAATTTTTTTGCTGGATCAAAAAAAAAGCGGCTTCTCTTTTTTTTTCTTCTCCTCTGTTTGGTTCATTTTGGATGAACCTGAAGGACAACGAAAACATCGGTTTTACACCGTTGTGAAAGGGAACAGCCAACGACAACAACGAAGTTTAATGCAATCAAAATATTTGAACGTCTGCCTGAGTCTGTGTTTATGTTTGTATCTGAACAACAGCACTTTTTTTCTGGTCAAAGCTGAAACTTTTTT